CCTTTCCAGGCACTAGAGGAAGAAAATTCTCCATGCACGGCTGGTCCTGCTCACCAGTACGCACCCTCACCCTTCCAGGAGCATGTCTCATGGGGACGTTGCCTGGGGATCCAGCAGGACACTCCGCCCCAGCCCCAACTAATTCCTCCAACTGTGCCCCAGGGGTGAAAACCAAGATGACCTTCCCCACAGACCATGCCTATCTTAAGCTTTTCATCCATCCAAGGGCTCTCATCCTTCTTGCTGCATGCAGCCCCTGCCCTAGTGCTGCAAGGAGAGGGATCACAGGAGCGAGGGAACTGGAGGCACTCAGCTGTTTTTTTGGATGCTGAGGTGCCAGGGCCTCAGGCACAGTCACAGCGGGAGAAGGAACATGGAGCCAGGCACAGGACCAGGGAGGCCAGGGAAAAGGCATGCTTCCCCTGGCACAACCAGCCATGAAGCTACAAAACTCAAAGCCAGGATGGGGTGGAGCAGCCTCAAGGGAGCTACAAAACAGCCCCCAGGAGCCTTGCAGGAGCTAAAAAAATCAAAAGCAGCCAAAGCTCTGAAGAACCCGCTGGGGTTGCGTGTTGGCCCTTGCAAGACGAGGATGGAGCAATAGCTGGTCGGGTCCACCAGCTCCTCCTGAGCCTTGAGGCCTCAGGCAAAACTCATGGAAAGCAAAGACTCCTGCAGATCTCCCCAGCAGCTGGGGGCTGGCCCTGTCCCTGCAAGGAAATCTGGGGAGATGCCAGCTGGCCTGGGCACCCTGCGTGACAGCAGCTTTCGCAAAACCAAGCTGGGCCACTGCAGCCTGGCCATCCCTGGAGACCTTTGCAGGGCTGTTCAGCACAGCTGCTGGAGCTCTGTCGCAACACCGGCACGGCACCGGGTTGGACCATGATGGAGACCCGGCATGACAGCACCGTCTGGTTTTCCCTATCTACTTCTGCAGGAAGGCAAGGGCTGAACTGTGCCTTTCACGATGTTATTGAATTCAAAAGGCACTGATGCCTGTGTTGACTTTCATCAAAGAGGGGCTTGTGAGGTCCTGGCTCCAGCTCCGACTATCGGTCTGGCCAAGATGAAAGCTTTCTGTCCCAAAGGAAGGGGATGGTGAAAGCACAGGAAGGCAAAGGAAACAGCTGGACGGGTATAGCCACGCTAGCCTAGGGGGACGTGCTCCAGGGATGCTGTGCCAGACCCACTGCCTCCCACGTGCTCTTCTGTGGGGACATCCACACCCCTTAGGCCACCAGCAGGATGGCAGGAAGCTGCCCCAAGCCCTGTCTAGGGCTCTCCAAGGTGGAACGAGACTTAACCACAGCTGAGCACAACACCCACCAAAATCAGTGGGTCAGAAGACTCTCTCCCAGCTGCTGCAGAGATGATGGTCTCCCGAAGCTAGAGGCTTCTCCCATCCCTTCTTCCCTCAGTGCATCTTCAGTACTGGCTTCTCAACAATGCTTGGCACTGCTTGATTTCTCTTTAGGAGATACAGTAAACAAGAAGGTGCCCAAATGACCTTCTTTCCACCATCAGGATTTCATCAGATGAAGGAGCCCTAAACGTCTCCACCTCTCCCTATATGGCAATCTCTGCGGGTCTGAAACAGTTTTCATTAGGCAGCTTCTATTTCAACCGTCTCCATATTGAGAGGGAGGGACCAGAGCCAAGCAGCTAATTTCCAAAATGCTTTCAGCATCCTCCACTCCTGGTCGATGCACAGTCTCACCTGCATGCAGGCCATCGCCACCTGCACAAGCCAGCCTGAAAATGTCAGGTCTCCTGAGGTCACTCCAGCCTGCTTGTCCTCTCCAAAAGCACCTTTAGGAAACATGTACAAGCAGGGTACTGGTGGATGTCACTGTCCCCTTGCTAGACACTTCCAAAATTCCTCGTAAGCTTTTCCAGAAAAGATCAATCCCCGCTGGAGTGAGTCCAAGCTCTCTGATCAGATGTGACCAGTGTGACCACAGTGCGCACACAGTCCTGGTAGGATGGAAGCAAATCAGGTCTTCACAGATTTCTTATTCCTCTTCCCATGGATCTCTCCCACCTCAAACACCCCAAAACACCAGAGGAGGAGATATTTGTCAGGGGCTTTTTCCATGTCCCAGACTTGTACCAGACTTTTTCCATGTCCCAGACTTGCATCTTGCAGCCCAGCTGCCCACCTGTACTGGAGAGCTTAGCAGATGCTCCAGGGGCTGCAGGTGCTGTGACCTTTTGAAAGAGTCCAAAGTTCACCTCATTCTGCTCCCATGCCAAGGTGACTCAGAGACCTGGGAAGCAGCCAGACTTGAGAGATAATTCCCATTAACACGCTGATCCCTGACACTGCAAACCTGCTTCTAATCTTCAGAGGAATTTTCCATTTTTCCATGGAAATAGTCCATGGGAGTCTGGCTGTTGGGGAAGACTCAACTACAATGCATCTGTGCCCTTCCCCACCTTCACAGCCTGGATGGTAGGAGAAAACCATCACCAGGAGGTGCACGGAGATTTTTGCTGGTAGGAACTTGGGTCATAAGGTCACAACACACCCAGTCAGAGAGATTTGGTGATTTTCATACCTGTGATGCTGTTGTAACCACAGGAACACTTAGAAAAAAATAAAACTCTCTAAACATTCCAGCAAGTCACCTCAGACATCCCAGGGCTAACTCCTGATGCTGGCATTGTATCAGCATTTCAAATGCTGGTGAAGCCCCAGTGTATTGCCCATAGGGAAGAGCTCCCATGCCACCCAAGCTCTGTCCTTGGCTATATTTTGGGCAGGGGCAGAGCCACCCTTTCCCATGCCTGAACAAGAAGAGGGGAAAAAAGGCTGTGAGAGATGCTGAAAATTTCCAAAGGGAGAAGAGCAGAAACACAAGCCAGCACCTGCCCCCTCCTGCGGGCAGCATCTCATGAGGGGTTTTCCTCCAGAGCCAAACCCGCGGGAGAAGAGGAGGCAAGAATCCTTTGGCTTGTTTAACCTAACAAGGAAGCTATAAATACAGCAGGGTAAACACTGGAGAGGGAGAAGAGGTCTTGAACTAAAAGCACAATGTTGGCACAAACCCACAGGGGAATAAGCTCTCCAGGAACGCATTCGGCAGGAAACCGGAGGGAGGTTGAGGCCTGTGTGAGCAGGAAGAGTCTGAAGTTGCCTTTGAATAAGAGCAGAGTAGAAAGAGAGGGTTTGAACTGAGTGCTCATCTAGTTCATGGCAGGTGAGGATGCCATGCATTGTCACCCTCTGTGGGGGTTTCCCAACTCAGGATAGATCAGGTGAGGCATGTGAGAAGGGCAGGATAGCTCCATGCGTAGGATGTGGGCTGCCTGGGTGCCCATCCAGCATGACAGCATCTGCATGATGAACCCAGCAGCTGCAAAGGGGAACTGCTGCTGCTGCCACATGAAAACGGTGGGGAGACTTGTTGCGCCGTGAGTCATTCATTCATCGTTCACAAACAGGGCCTGCACTTGGCCAAGCATCCTCCTCCCCCCACTGCTGGGACAGGGAAAAAGTGGCTTATTAGATATAATCAAGTCAAGTTTTCCCCTCCCTGAGAAGTTCCTCTTCCTGGAGTAGGAAGGGCAAAATCAGAGCTGCTTTTCTCCCACGTTCCCGCAAGCAGCCTCTGCCTTTAGCTGCACCCTCCAGGGAGCCCTCCCTATCACCCACTGTTGGTGACACCCAGCATTAGACCCTGTCTCCCACCCCCAGTCCCACTTTGGCTGCCAAGTTCAGCTCACAGCTCTCTGGAGAGGACATATTGTCCTTTTCACTTCCCCAGAACAGAGCCCGGTTGGTGGAGCAGATAGTGCATAGGTGCTGAGGGAACATTGTAGCCATGTCTCATTTTTGTCCCTGCCACGGGAGGACCTCCACCAGCTCACAGCTCCCTCTGAAACTCCTCTGCCCTGTGCCAGGCTGGGATGCTGTGTGCTCCATGCAGCTCCACGTGTAACCTTGCTGTGACCTGCCCTCCTATAAACAGCGAGAGTGCAAACACCCCACCTCCTTCAGCAAACGAGACAGCCAGACGTGGAGTGGCCACCTCCTGGCACCCAAGGCGCTCAGCCAGCCCTGGACATCCCAGCTCTGTCTGTGTCACCAGTGCCAGTCAATCCAACGCCATTTTGGGCACAGCAACACATCTACAAGTTGCCATAGCTCTGGGTTCCTCCCCATCCACGGGGACCAGGCACAAGGTACCCAGATGCCCTGTCACAGTGGGGTCTCGGTTTGCTGAGAGCGACGTCTGAGCCGAGGATAGCCACTCTGACCCCTTTGACACCCTTCACCAGCCCAGAGGTAGAGCTTGGACAGGACCTGGTGGGTGACACAGCCAGCCTGTGAGGGGGGCAGTGGGCACAGCTCAGGGCTGGGCACTCGTGGAGGCTGGCAGAGGACAGAGAAGTTGGGATTGAGACAGCATCCTGGGGCAAGGAGGGACAAGGAAGGCAGAGAGCCCTGCCAGCGCCCGCGCATGGGAAAGCGCCTCTCTCAGCGCCTCTCCTAATTGGGAGCAGCTTTTCCCTACTTGGACCCCCCAGGAGAAGAGGGGGCCCTGCCAGAGGGGCGCTTTGCCTGGCATTCCAGCCTTTCTCCAGAAAACTCCCCTTAGAGTCAGCGGGGTTGCCTAAATTGCGAAGCGAGGGGGGGTGTCTGTGGAGGCTGGGGAAGGAGCTCAAAGACCCCACCCTGGGAACGCCGTCTACTCCCCGAGCATCTCCGGGCAAGGCGGAGGCGCGGAGGGCGGAGAAGGGGGAGCAGCACTGGGTACCCATAGGTAGACGGGAGGGACCGGGAGGGCAAATCCCTGCCAGCGACTTTTTGAGGGGACACGGACACAGACAGACAGGCACATTCCACACACACCCCTCCCTCTCCAACTTTCTCCGCCCGGGCAGCAAAACGGCCCCGGGGAGCCGCCTGCCCGCAGCCGTGCGCCCCTCACCGCGGCGTCGGGGCGGCGGCGACCCATTCCCCTCCCGGGGTGGGGACGGGGGCCACTGTTTCCTACCTTCCTGCGTGGAGCCGCGGCTATGTGTCCATGGCGCTAGACGGAGCGGGAGCGGGGCCGGGAGCGGGGCGCCCGCACCGGGCTGGCTGCGGCCGGTAGCGCAGGCGGTGCGAAGCCGGTGGGGCCGCCGCCGCCGCTCCATTGGAGCAGGGCTCTGCCAATCTGCCGCCGCCGCTCCGGGACGCTTCCTGCCTGTGAGCCGCCCCCCGGGACCGGGAGGGCTCTGAGCCCGCCGCCTGCCGCCTCCCCGGGGTGCGTGGTCCCCCGCGGGGCTCCCCGTCCCGCTCCGGCCGGGGAGCCGGGATGGGATCCCACCGCGGCACGCTGATGTGCGGTGCTCTGCGGTGCGCAGCTTGGGGGTCCCCGCGAGGTTCAGGAACCCCCTCTTCCTCCCGAGGGTGCACAGCCCTCCTCGATGCTCTCGGGGGGCAGCACCTCCCTCATTCACCAACCGTGCCTGCCCCCACCCAGTATCCCGGAGGAGCGGAGTCAGGCAGGTCCTGCCTGTGACTCAGTTTCCTTTGCCCCTGGGCGGGGCATTTCTTTGGGGTTTATTTCTGTGGTGGTTTGTTTGATGGGTAACATGCAGGGTGAAATTTGGCTGCAGGGTTTGTGTCCCTGAACTGAAGAAAAAGACTCGTTTCTCCTCACATCATATGATGCATATTTGTGTCCCTCTTGTGCAGGACCCGTCCACCACCTGACCTGCTTTCCCTTGGAAGTGGGTTTGCCATTTTATCATGGTGAAAATTTTCAGGAGGAAAAATACTTGTTGAAAGTCTGCAACAGGAGACCGGCTGATGAAGACCCATGGTGGCACTTTCCCCTTCCGTGGCACATGAGGCCAAGTCTGGTTAGGGGTTCCCCCAGGTGATGCCATCTGGGCTGGCCCTGCTGGGGCCCTAGGACATGCCCAGCGTTTCCTTCTCCACTGGGCATGGTGGCTGTGCAGAGATAATGGCCACATGTCCCACGTGTGTGCATGTCCCATACAGGTCTACTTCCCCTGCAACAATGGAAGGCTCTCTAGCCTGGCAGGAATGAACAGGGTCACAAATTCCCATTGCAACCCTACAGTAACAAACTGATCCTTGCCTGTGTCCTGGCACATCTCTGAAACCCACAGTAACAAACGACTGCCTGCTGCTGTCCTTTCATATCTCTGGAACCCCACAAAAACACACCCATGGGTTATCCCACCTCCTCTTATCCGTGTGGTAATAAACCGGCGTTTTCCTTTGTCCCAGCTCTCCCATCAAAATCCCATAACGGACTCTGGGAGAGGTGGGAGGCCATGTGGGGTGAGCATGCCCATGCCAGCAACTGCACCAGCTCTGGGCTGCATTGCAGGTGTTGTGCTCAGCTGTGGTTGAGGCTTGGTGCCCACAGCACCCGAGGAATAGCTCAGTGCAGCACATCTGCTCGTGGCCTGGGCTACTGCCTCGCCAGCCACATGTGGCCAGATCCATCCCGCCTGCACTACAAGAGCTGGGGCAGTGCCAGGACTGGGGATGTCCCTTTCTGAGTCAGCTCACGTGGCCTCTCAGGTGCTTTGTAGAAGGGGTCTGGTCCCACCAGCCTCCTCACATCTGCCCTCAGCTAGCAGCTCATGAGGATTTTGGGGTCTGGGGGAGAGGCTGGTCCCAAGCAGAGAGAGGTTTCCTCCATCTGGCTTCTCACTTTCCCCTTCCTGCCTCCTAACACTGCTCTGCACTCCACAGTCCATGTGAGCTGAGGGACGCTGAGCATCTTCCAGGATCAGCCAGCTCCTCGGGAAGGAGTGGAGTTGGGCGAGCTGCAAGCATGCATTTGGCCGTGGGTCCTCCCCCGGGAGCAGACCCTGAGCTTTTCTCAACACTTCGTGGTGCTCGCAGGGCGCCGGGAGCTGGGCTGCTTGGCGCCAGCGCTGGCAGGGAGCCACACGCTGCTTTCTCCACTGTTGCAGTGCTGGAGAGCTGAGCTGAGCCGAGGATCCGGGGAATCCCCCGGCTCCGCAGGGCTGGGGCCGCCTTTGGGGGTAGGAAATTAAGAGCAGAGCTCGATTTATAGGGGTCTCTGTGTTGGGAGTTAGAGCTGGCAGACACCCCAGTGGTGTGCTGGGAGGAGGGATGTACTGAGGATCTGGCGTGTATTGGGACTCTATCTCTGAGCAGAGCTAGAGAGCTGCAGCGCTGGGTGAAGAAGGAGGTTTGTCAGTGGTGTGGGGTCTGCTGGGTGAGCAGTGCACTCAGGGGAGCTACATGTACCCTGGAGTCCTTGGGGCAGGACTCCTCTGCATCTCCCTGATGAGGAAGCTCTGGCATTGCAGCCATTCCCCTGCGCCATCCTCAGGCTCAGTCAAGGATCTTGAGTTTTGCACACCTCGAGCTCCTCCTTTCTACCATGGCACAAGAACTTCCAAAAAGACACGTTCCAAGCTATCTGCAGCAGCATCCCATCCAGCAGTTGGTCCCCCTTTCAGCACCCCATAAGGGCCGAATCTGGGGACCCTAGGGTCTTTCTTCTCTCTCCCTCTTCTCTGAGTGAAGAAGCCAGAGAGGAAGCTGTCTGCTCTTGTCCAGACAGATCAAGACTTGGACATGCGAGCAGATGGCTGGGTATTTTATTGCACTACCACAAACCCATGCAGGACCAGATGAACTGGGGCCATATGAGCTGTGTGCTGCCCTCCCTCCCAGTCCACAGCTTTGCCTGACTACCTGCTGGTATGTGCTCAGAGATGTCCTGAACTCTACCAGGAAGAAGCAGGCACATCCATGAACTGGGCACCCATGTGCTAGATTGGGTGAAGAAACTGGGAGGTTTGGACTCATAGGCTTGAGAGCTGGAATTGGGCCAAGCTTGAAGCGAGATGTGTCATGCTGATGTGCAGGTGTCACATCATGAGGTTGTGCTGAGGAATGGGGACGCTGGTTCTCAGCCGTGCTGGATGAGTTAGCACTTGCTGTATTTCTACCTGGATAATGTGAGGGGAGCTGATGGATGGATGGTAGAGAACTGTGGGGCCTGGAGATGAGTGCATCTGCAATGTATGGTGTCCTTTCATGGTTTCTGGGCAGAGGGAATTGCCACAGGGTATGCCTCCTTGTGTGCAGGGCTGGCTGATGGCATGAAGCCTCTCCTGCCCCAGTGCCCATTTCAGCGCTGCCTGTCTGAAGATGCTCCATGACCATGCAGCCCGGGCACGGATGGGGCACACATATGCCCTGGAAGTGACCATCCCTGACATCCTAGAGACACAAGTGACCACTCCAGAGGTGCAGGTGTCTGCTAGGTACAGGGCATTGTGGGGCAATGGGGCTGTTCAGCACCAGCCTATTTGCCTTGTGTGGGACTTGTCCTGTGAAGTCTCCTACTCAGTGGCTTTGCTCTGGCTGGCTTGGCGTGTGTCCGGGCTCTGGCTGACGTGCTGTGGGCATGGCCCCGTCTGAAGTGCAGGCTTGTTGTGTGTTTACCCTGGCCAGCCTGAGGTGTACAGGAAACCAGAGAGCTCTGCTCCCTGGCTGTCACTTTATTTATTATGGTCACAACTCGGGCTGCCCACACTGTGAAATGAAGGTAGCAAAAACCCCAAGTGCTGCAGCACAGTTCCCGCCCTGCCAGCCCTGCTCTGCTCTGATTCATACTGCTATCCTGGAGCTGGGAGCAGTTCTGTCCTGGAGCGAGATGGCAGGATGCTTGGTGCCATGCTGTGATCATAGTGTCTGAGAGCAGGTTGGCTTGTCCCAGAGGTGTCCAGGCATACCATGCCAGAATAAATTGCTGATGGATGCCCAGCCCAATGGCACACCACAGTCACTACCTGCACTAACACCTGGATGTCCCAGTCTGGTTACATCTTCCCTGGCTCTTCCCTCCTGTTCTGCAAAACAGTAGTGCATCTAGTCCATCTCTGCTCCAGGGATTTTCATCCATCTCTGTCACCCCTGTCACCCCCAAGGGAACACTGACCCAGCTGCCACTGGGGAACACTGCCCAGCTGCCACTGCAATATGCAGAGACTGGACTCACTCACTCTTTGGGCTTTCAGGACCAAAGATGTTTGTTGCCTGTGGCCAGCAGCTCAACACAGCCTGCTCCGTCCCTGCTGGATGGTCCTCCTCCTAGAGAGGACACCACGGTGGTAGCTGTGGTGGCTTGAAGGGTGGAGTTTAAGGTTGGGAGGCTGTTGATGACTGGGAATCTCTCTGTGTGGGGTTGAGAACAGGTGCCTGAATGGGGACTTGAGCCATCCCAGGTGCTCCCACCATTGTGTGCTGCAAGGACCTGGGAGGCACCATGTGAAACACTGCATGCTGCGAGGCATGGGCAAACTCACAGCTGAAGGGTGAAGCAGAGACGGGCAATATTATACACGTGGCTATTTATAGGAACTGCTCTTCTGCCAGAACCTGACTGGCAGCAACAAGGGCTGGGCTGGCGTTTAGGGAACTCAGTCCAAAATCACCAGCCAGCAACCTGGGGACATGAAACAAAACCTCTCAGTGCTCAGAGGGCTCCTGGTCCCCACAGAGTCACATGGCTTGCTGGGTTGCATTGCTATTAAAGGGAGAAAATGCTAGTGAGCTGATAAACAGGAGAAGGTGAGCCAGCTCGTGAAACCTTGGGCAATTTGACAGCCCTCCTCCCACAACAGGCAGCCAAGTACTGGAGCCTATTGAACAGGACAAAGCGCTTGGTCTGAAATGGTTGGCTTGAGTCACAGAGAGTGAAGGGGAAAGAGAGCTGCTTCTTAAGGTGGATTTTAAGAGCTTGATATTAGTTTTGTTGTATTTAGGCATCTTAAGTTTGTGTGGTTTTCACCAAAAGAAAGTCCAGGCAGCTATTCACTGAAGTACCATAGTAATATTTGAGTCTCATTTTCTGAAGACATTAAATTTATAGGGTGAGATAGTGAGCAAAAGCCAACTAACCAATGAAAACCAACCCAAAGATGTGGAACATGAGATTTTATTTATAAAGGAAAAACAGGAATGTTCTAGGGGGTGGATTCCTCTTCTGGCTCTGGGTAGCATCTCCTTGGTGCCAGCCCTCAGCATCTGGATGCTGCCCATGGAGCCGCCTCTTGGGCACTGCACAAGGAGACCTTGCCCACTGAC